TAACCACTAGAAAGAGCTGGTTGAAGAGATAAAAACAATGGGGAAAGTAATTATGTTGTCCTAGGATTCAAGATACTACCTAAAGAGAAATAGGAGCATAGTATGTAGCCCTGCACTGTGCAATTCATTTAAAAATGAGTTGAATGAAAAATTAGAAAACACAGTTATTAAATTTGCAAATGATACAAAAAAAAGGAATAGTAAATATAGAACAATATGTTGATTCAAGAGTAGCCTGACCATGGAACAACGGGAAGAACCCCCCAAAATGCAAGTATAACTTCATTTGGGTAGAAAGCCCAGAAACATCAGCAAAGAAAAGGAGTGTCCATACTGGGCAGGAGTACCTAAAACAAAAAATCTGATTGTCTTGGTAGATCACAAGTTGAACATGAGCCAACAATGTGATGCAGCTGAAAAACAAGCAAATGCAATCATGGGCTACATCAGCAGATGTTTAATGCCAACCTCAAGATAAGCTGTTATTCTGTTTATTCTACATCACTCAGACCTAGAATAGACATAGAGTAATATCCACTTCTGGGCACTGCATTTTAGGAAGGACATTGACAAATGGAAACCTGTCCAGAGGAGACCAATCAGATGATAAAGAATAAAAAAAAATGCCTATGATGAAGCAGTGGGCATAATTAGCCAGGAGAAAAAAGTAGGAGACATAATAATTGTTTTTGAGTATCTGAGGGCTATCATACAGAAGGTGGAGCAAATGTTTCACAATTGTTCCATAAGACAGAAGAAGAAACAATGAGTTTGAATTCTAAAGAAGTAAATTTTGGCTGAACATTATGAACATTTCCTAATAATAAAAGCTATTCAGCAATGGAACAGATTGCCTAATAAGCAGTACACTTTCTGTCACCGGAAGTGTGGTTGGATAGTCATTTCTTGGAAATGTCATAGTGGATTCCTAAACTGTGTAAGGATTGGACTGTCCAAGGAACCTTCCAGTCCTTCCATTTAATTCTGTGGTGATTGTGGTGGTGGTGATGTTTGTCTTGTTCTTAGAAGTACTAACAGACTAAAAGATCAGAGGCCCAGGATTCTATAGGTATGCATTGCACATTTACATTTTAAGAATCAACTTCATGCTCTTTGACTTAGGGAGTGTAGACAGCATTATGTAGGGCTCAGATACAGACATAATACTACAAAGGTATAATAGATTAGCATTCAGGGTTGTTGTAAGCATTACTAAGGCACATTAAATAACTTGAGCATTTCACTACAGAAAACACAGCTGTTTCACATGGTCTTGGAGCATTGCTTTGGTTACCAAAAGTGGCTTCTATTTTTGATGACCAAAGGCTCTTATCTCAAAGCAATGCAAATCTTACCAATAGATTGGTTCTGCCAGGATGCATCAGAGAAGCAAAATAATGTGACTTCATGAGACGAAAGATCTTTGTACGTTAGGTTGGCCACAATCCAAACAGTTCCATTGCCAATTAGCCTCTGGGCATAAGTCATCCTGTTGGCTATTACCTATAAGTGAATTGGGGCAGAATATCTGAAAAGTCTCTTGCTGTCCCATCACAAAAACATACTAGATGAATGGGAATACAAAACAAGACTTTATCTTTGATATGATTAGAACGCTACCTTCTTCATTTGGTTTCAGGCTGACTACTAACGTGCACTTTGTTCCACATGGCTTTTAAACTATATAAGATACAATAACTTGATTTCTTTAAAGGACTATATTCCTTCTGTTTTTAATTTACATGCATGCGCACGTATGTTTTTGATTCTTAAATTACTGTAAACTTGTACATTGTAAATTGTCTGTGCAGACCATTCTTGGCCAAAAATTGGTCACTTCTGCAATACATTGTTGGCAAAAATAAAACACCTATTGTTTCTCCATAGATGTCAACCAAAATTAGTTATATGCAGAAATTGTACCAAATATGCATAAGTAAAAGAAGTCTTTCAAACATTATTATCCAATGGATATAAATAGGTCATTAAGGAATTCATAAGAATTCTAAAAAGTTTCTAAGATTACACAACTTACATCTTAGTTTCAAGTCCAATTAAGGCAGATATTCAAAGAAGAAGAAAAAAACAGTAAGAGTTTGGGGAAGACTCAGATAATCTCTTCCCTCAGAAAGGAATCGATAACATGGTAAAATATTGGTCTCGAGTGACCAGCAAGCTATTTCATTTCTAAGGAAATTATTACTGCTAGGTAGAGCTAGATTTAAGAAACACAAACCCTTTGTCAGAAGCTCCCATTTTCACCCAATATAAGGCAATAAATAACAAACATGAGTGAATGAAGGATATCCTGTGCAGTCTCAACTGTATGTTAGCATATGTATTCTTCCCTTTCTGCACTCCAAAAACCTCCCTTAAACAATCATAACTGCAAATTCCCAAAAGGGGGAATCAACTCTGCTGTTGTTTTCCATATATACATTTCAGGCTAAAGAGAGATAGAGATGTAACTATCAGGTTTTTTTACACCTTAGCCAGTGGAAACTTGAATTCAAAACTTATTTGTTATAGGTCCAGATTAGAGGCAATATACATAATTAAATACCAGGCTACATCCAAATAATTTTTTGGACAATCAAACCCAAGGACAAAGATGGTACACACAAAGGGGGCACTAAAATTGCTCCATCTTAGTTCTTTATTGCAATAGAACACAAATTGCTGTTCATTTTCCAGATGACATCACGGTCTATAGAATATACAAGCAATCTAAAACACTGGCTGTCAGAAAACAAAGAACATGGATCAAATCTCATCTTCCAGAAGGCCCGGATGTACCACAAAATTATCTTGGAAGACAAATGCTACTTGGTAACCCCTCAAAATTACAAACATCACCATGTAAAGAAACTGTAAAAAATAATAATTTCTGTACATCAATAAGTCTGTGGAGTTTGCAGGCAACTGTATTCTAGAGTGAAGCAAAAATTACTCATAGTTTCACAATATATTGTTCTGATCATATCTGTTGAAATCCTGTAGATTCTCATAAATGAAATACTTTGATTTCAATTTTTTAAAAATTCAGTTTGAATTAATGTGTAGACAGGCCTATACATAAAAAAGGGCACTCTGCACAGCTGTAGATCAGTGGTGAATACCAATCTTCTTTTTACTTTATACTTTAACAGGATGCAACAAAATAGAGTTCCTTTGAGTATGCTAAGCTAAAAAAGGAATAACACTCATGACAAACAACAAAACAGCAGCAGCTGAAGCCACAAGAGAGAGGTTGCATCACCTCAGTGATAGTAACACAGTAGATGCAAGATTGTAAGGACAGCTGATTTACCTTTAAAAAACACAAGAGAAATTGAAAGGTATTGTTTAATTCTGTTCTATAATCATTACTTTGGTCTCTTCCTTTTTTAATTTCAATCTGAAGAAAGCATTTATAGGAAAAGCAGATAGGGTAATTTATAGGCACACCTGACAGATTATTATTTTTTGTCCTAATAAAAGTAGAATACTTATGTAGACATCTATCTGAAGAGACTAGGAAACAGTTCTCTCTCCCAGATAATTAATGGCAGAAAAAGCAGAAATATGGAGAATAAAAACAGGAGCTACTCTTCCCTAGGTTTAAGTCTGCCTTTGAGTTAGGTTGACTTTAGCTTCTTTCTTTCTTTCTTTCTTTCTTTCTTTCTTTCTTTCTTTCTTTC